GTTTTGGGTTGTGAATATTCTGAATGTTCTTGAAATCAAAAGTTTTAATGAAGAGATTTGGTACCTTTATGACTCGTTGGTAGGCAGAGATTTTGTTGTGTTCGATGCAGGCGAGAATTACGAGTCCGGCTGCTACACTTGAGGGCCAGAAACAAAGTTGAGTGTGATCGGATAGTGAGGAAACAGCCAAGGATTTGGCTCTCCTTTCAACTTCTGGATTGGCTCGACCGGCTTTTAGGTAAAACCTGACATGTATAAATGATAGTTATATGTATATTTCGGTGTGTATATATGTCTTGGGACAGAAAATATATAGTAAGAGAAGTTTTTACCATAAGAAGTTGAAGATTGTGGGTGAGAAGCATTTGAAGTTGAGGACTTCTTGAACCAGCCATTCCATTGCCACCACTTCATGCCGGCTATATTTTAGGTTCTGGATGTAAAAGTTCCTTTTCCGGATGCTATCAAATGGAGGAAGGTATCAGGTGAGTAGCTGAAGAAAATTGAACTATTGTTGTGTGTGAAACAGAATTCAGTATTTGACACATATGAGTAATAACATTTGTATATAGAAACCATATAGGATTTGTACTAGACTATCATTAGTCCCTAATTTGGTTCAAGGTAATACTCAGTTACTTACTATTCAGAACAGTTATCTAATGAACATTGGAAGTCAGAATAAAGAAGATGGAATATGGTTGGTACCTATTGTAAGGTTGATTTTCTTCAATTCTGGTGGCAAGAGTAAGACTCGCAATCCCGACCAGTACTAGAGTCCTCTCGCTGTTGAAGGATCCTTTGCTCAAGAATCGATCCAGTAGACTAACTCCGAGAAACAATGTCTCTTGCTGAAGCTCCATTTCAGAACATTGCTGCATTTAGTCAGGGAGAAGATGATCATCAGCAACAAAATAATACCATATCTGTCTGATATATACATAAACCTTAGAAGATGCTGAGATGAGCTATAGACTTCCTAAGGCTAAAACACCTTACAAGCCAGAAACAAGATCTCCAAGCATTTGTTCCTACTTCCTAACATCAGTGACTATCATAAATGGATCGAGAAGTTGCATTTTCCTTTAGAATCATCTTCTCCTAATGATGCATATTTCCGAGCTTTGACATTCAGAGATCAAATGCATTTAAACAGAAGGGATTATGTTCACCTCTACTATCCATTGAACCATGATCAAGCGTAGACGAGGGATGAGATCAGTAGAGTCCATGCTAGAGCAGTAAGCCTTAGCACAGTCCCGCAAATATGCATGACTTCTCTCTCTTTCCCTCAGCCTTTGATAGCTCTCTTCCACTTCTTCATCCTCAAACCTTACCTGCTAATTAGAATTTGCACATTAAGATTCATTCCAGCACAAGAACTTCAGAGATTTGGTCTCAGCTCAACATAGACTAGGGATTGAGTGAAATTGCAAACATATATCCACACCTTCAAATCAACATATAACCACACCTTCAATCTCTAACTACTAGCAATTACTCCAGGAGATATGAAAGCATTTATACACTTACTTCAGACTGAATTTCACCGTTTTGTTCATGGCGAGAAGATTCCAAATCGTTGGGGATTGTGGATCTACAGAACTGTTCTTTGAACTCGAGGAACAGAGAGCGAGTATGTGAAGTAGGAGAATCAGAGCAAGATTTCTCAGAGAATTCGCTACCAGAATCAAAGAAAATTGACGGAGTGTAATCAGAGAATTCGAAGTCGGAATACTGAGAAAATATCTCGGAACGCGGCTCCGATAACTCATCCTCGAGATATTCCGATTCCTCCGAGAATTTCTCAGTGCAAGCGAGATCGGAGACGCATCCTGTTATCTCAAGCTCCGGCTTCAGTTCCTTGACCGATCCCAAAGAGAAATCAGCTTCCACGAAGCTAATCGGTTTGGAGATTTCAGTTTCTTCGTTATCAGCTTCTCCGGTTACACTCCCAAACTTCGAGCAATACTCCACTCCCGAAATGAACGAAACGACGTCGCTCTCCTTATTCTCCGACGCGAAATTCAAATTCCGACGATCGGAGACATTCTCGGCAAAAGTCACGTCGGATCGTGTGTAAGAGACTTCGCTTACTTCGATTTCATCTCCTTCCTTGTCCTTGTTTAGCTTAGAGTATGACCTCGTAATCCTCCGAAATTTCAGATCACCGATCGTCTCCCCAGGTCCAGAAA